CAATTTTTCACCATAAAAATATTTTGTTCGGAATCGTAACAAATTTATTCATATTTATTATTTTACTAGAAATCAATTTATTTATAAACACCGAATGTTTAAAAAATAAGAATTCTGTGCAAATGTTATTAAAATTTAATAACACTGAACATTCATGATTTTTTCAAATGTTTCTCACTCAATTTAATTGACAAATTTGATAATTGAAAATGGTTGGATCTATGGTGCGGCCTATGCCAAACAAAATTAATCCAAACTGCTCGAATCAGTTTTTAAACTAAAACCTGCAAATATGAAGCCTATCCCTAGACTGTTGAAAAATTTTGTCTGAAATTTCCGGAACTTTCTGAACTTTTCGTAAATTTTTATCGATTTTAATTACCACTGAAATTTCAAGGAATTTCATCATTGAAAATTCTGAATTTCGTGGAAAAATCAAAGAGAACTGTAAATTTCAGTTCTATTCATTACCCTGAAAATGAATAGGAAACCAGAAAATTCTGGCAAATATATTCTTGAATTTTCAGGACAGTGACACTGAGTGCGATTTAGGTGGAAAAAAATCATGAAATTTCATATTTCGCTAAAAAATCAATGTAATTTGGCACGGAATATTCATATTAGATTGGAAATTCAAATCAATTTAGGAATTCTCGTCTTTATACCGCTTAACATTCTGAAATTTTACTGAATTTTTAGTGAAACCTGAAATTTCACGATTTTTTCCCCTAAATCATATTCAGTGTTACTGTCGAGGTGCTACTCACTCCATAATTGAGTGACACCATGATTTCGAAATGAAATCGATTTCGGGTGATTTCATGATTTCGAATGATTCCATAAATTCAAAATCAGTGATTTCAAATAAATAAAGGTAATAAAAAATAGAGGTGAGGCAAAACGGGTTGTGTCAAATTATGAAAATCAACACTGGCAATATTATAATAACTGGCAAATAATAACAAATTCGTTTGATTCTACACGAAGAGAAATGTACGAGAAAAATTACCGTGCTCGCGCAGTAAAGTGGGTTCAGATGGTCTTTCCAGGCGAAATGTACCGCAAAGACTCGGAAAAAGTACTGTTGCACGAGTCATTTTATCGTATAAATGCAGGGAAAAATTCTTGTGCAGTACGGTAAAATCGAGGAAACAGTGAATTTTTATAAGTACGAGAAAAATTATGACACTGGCTGGCAAATTTTTCCGGTGCTCTATCAGAATCCTAGGACTCAATCGCGCATTCGT